AATTCTACTCTATCTTATAGGATCACTATGAATCAAAATGGACTTGATGGCAACAGGTTTGGTTTGGTTTTATTCTTAAAGTATTATAGGTCCTCACTGAAAAAAAAAAACCTGAGCCATGATTTTCAGGTGTGATATGAATTTTGTTTTTTCGCCACTTAGAAAATCATTTAAGATCTTTTGGACCTAGGAATACTTTTAGGAAAGCATTCTATGGAAATAAGAAATGTACACAAAGAAGTGTATACAAAGATGCCTTTTGTAGCATAACTTTAAAAATTGAAAAAATAATGAACAATCTAAGTGTTTAAAAACAGGAAACTGGCTGAATGAATTAAGATCTACCCATGACAGAGCACTAAAAAGGCAATAAAAATCATACGCATATTGTTAAGTAAAAGATTACAAAATTATATAGTACAACAGTCCATAAGGAAATGTATCTAAGTGAACAGTGGTTATAAAGGTGATTTTGGTTTTCTTTATACTTTATTACTTCCCAAATGCTCTACAATGAACACTTGTATTTCTAATGTGAAAAAGTATTAAAGTATCTATTCTTCATTTCCTGGTATTCTCATGATGTGAAAGGCAGGAGAATACTTAAAATGACTCAGATTTGTGGAAAAGATTGCAGTTTGTCTATGTGACTATAATAACTGTGAAATAGTACTTAGGAAAAATATTCTTAAGGAACAAAAACCTACCTCACTACTCTTAATTTATAAATGTGTGCCAACTGGGAAAGACAGTATTCTGGCAATGATATGTAACGTCCATGAATTTAGGAAAATCAGTGTTTGGGAATAAACAAAACTAAGCATTATCCAGGACAATATTTAGTAATTTACCATCATCTGCCAAATCTAAAACGTGCTGTTCCTTTTCAGTAAATCTGTCATCTATATTACTACATCAGAATGATCTCTATAAAATAAAAGAGCCCTCATCTCAAGTCAAAAATATCTTTCAATGATATTAAGACACATGTCAGTAATCACCTATATGATTCAGAGGAGTGGTGAAAACCAGTGTTTGGCAGGTATCTATGAACACATCAGTGCTTTACAAGTAATACAAGTCTTTAAATATCTGTGAGTTAGTCTGATTACTTTTCACAAAAAAATGCATAAATAGACATAAAAATATTTAAGTAAACAAGATAAAGACTCCATTTTTTATTTTTATTCAGAGGCAGAAAAATACAGGGAAGAGTTGGTATGGGATGTTAAACATGGAGGTGAATATGATGCTGAGGTTTTCTTTATACTTTATTATTTCCCAAATGCTCTGCAATGAACACTTGTATTTCTAATGTGAAAAAGTATTAAAGTAGACCTTAGCCCCCAGTCAATTTAACAGCTATTTTATAAGAGAAACTAAAGTGCTCAGAGGCTAAAGCAGAAAACTGACCTATATAATGTTTGGAACGAATCTTAGAAAGACAGAAATAAAAATTTTAAGGCCCCATACAATGTCCAACTCAGAACTAGGATCCTCAAACAAGATTTTTCTTGTTTTAAAAAGTTCAAGAATCTGATTATCATAATAGCTTATATTTTTAATAGAGAGCTTATCAAAGTAATTTTAACTCATACCTGTAATCCCAGATTGAAATAGTATTGCAAAACTTTTGTATCTAAAATTAAAATAGAAAAATTAGTTACTAGATAACATAAGCAATTAGAACTATCACTTAAAAGCGTTTCTCATTGAGCATTTTATATTAAGGTATATATCAATCCAGTTTTCTCAAACCCACAATACCCTCAATTCTATGTTACAGTACATGACCATTCACCTACCTTATAGTAAGACCATTTTCTAATTCAAAGTTTAGTTATCAAATACTTACTTTACTTCTATTTTTAATATTAGCCAGATGTTATATAAATACCACTCCATTCTGCTAGTATTTACAAAGATGCCATTAAAGGCATTTTCTCATCTCATGACTAAAAGTCTGAAGCAAATCTTGCTTAAGCAATCATAATGGACTTCAGTTAATAGAGCTAATACACAATACAAACTAATTTTCTACTAATACTGAGATTAGTGATGCCTGCTGCGACAACCAGCATAGTATGAAACAATTCACTGTTTTAAAGCACCACCATTAAAATTATAAACAGAAGAGGTAATGACCAAGATAAAGAACTCAAAACTTGTTATATCCTGAGGGATGAAATTTCTCTACACAGTATAGAACTTAATAATTTCATAAATGAACAAAAACTAGACAAAGAAGAGGAAATGTTCCTAACATTCCAATTATCCTCTAACTGTATTTTTACTGCTTGACCTGGGAATCATGTATATTCTTATTTATAGGACGATACAATCTGAGTTTCATTAAATTTACAAATGAACTCTCATAAAATTCCTCATGTCAGAGACTCCCGAAATATTAAAAATATAGCTATAACCACTGTTAAAATAATCAGCATGTATTTTACTACTAGGGCCGGAACTGGTAGGGAAGGCTGGAAGAAAGCAGCAGACGGCTTTTGGAGGGCTGGAACTGGTAGGGCCAGAAAGTGGGAGTGCAGCAGTTTGAAACAGCTAAGGGATACGAACTCATCTGTCAATTTGTTGTCCTGTGGTGGCTTGTGTGTTGCTGTGAGGCTGGAGGCTGTGCCACCAGTGTTGCAAGTGCCAACAGGGTTAGCCATGGTGGATAGGTTTCAGTGGAGCTTCCAGACTAAGCCAGACTTGGAAGAAGGAAGAGGCCATCCACTTTTCAAAGAATTGCCAGTGAAAATCTTATGAATAGCAGTGAAACACTGTCTGATATATGACTGAAAAAAAGCCCTGAAACACTGCCTGATTTAGTGCCAGAGGATGAGCCCCTCAGGTTGGAAGGCACTCAATATATGACTAGGAAAGAGCTGCCTCCTCAGAATAGAGCCAATCTTGATGATGTGGATGGAATAAAGCTTTCAGGACCTCCTTTTACTGATGAGGCACAACTCAAGAAGAAAACAGCTGCAAGTATCCATTAATAATTGGAATTTATGAAGCATGAAACTAGGAAAATGAGAAGTTGTCAAAAATGAAATGGAACACATAAAGATCGACATCCTAGGCATTAGTGAGCTGAAATGGACTGGTTATGGCCATTTTGAATCAGACAATCATATGATATACTATGCCAAGAATGACAATTTGAAGAGGAATGATGTGGCATTCATTAACACAAAAAATGTTTCAAGATCTACCCTGAAGCACAATGCTGTCAGTGACAGGATAATATCCATATGCCTAAAAGAAAGACCAGTTAATATGACTATTATTCAAATTTACGCACCAACCACCAAAGCGAAAGATGAGGTAATTGAAGATTTTTACCAATTTCTGCAGTCTGAAATTGACTGAACATGCAATCAAGATGTGTTCGTTATCACTGGTGACTGGAATGCAAAAGTTGGAAACAAGAATCACCGGTAGTTGAAAAATATGGTCTTGGTGATAGAAATGACGTTGGAGATCGCATGATAGACTTTTGCAAGACCAACGACTTATTCATTGCAAATACCTTTATCAACAACACAAATGGTGGCTATACACGTGAACTTTGCCAGATGGAGTACACAGGAATCACACAGACTACATCTGTGGCAAGAGGCAATGGAGAAGATAAGTATCTTCAGCCAAAACAAGGCCAGGAGCTGATTGTGGAACATGCCATCAACTTCTCATATGCAAGTACAAGTTGAAACTGAAGATAATTAAAACAACTCTACGAGAGCCAAAGTATGACCGTGATTATATTCCTCCTGAATTTAGAGACCATCTAAAGAACAGATTTGATGTACTGAACACCAATGACTGAAATCCAGAGGAATTGTGGGATGACATCAAGAACATCATCCGTGAAGAAAACAAAATATCATTAAAAAGATGGGAAAGGAAGAAAACACCAAAGTGGATGTCAGGAGACTCTGAAACTTGCCCTAGAATGGAGAGTAGCTAAAGCAAATGGGAGAATTGACAGGGTAAAAGAGTTGAACAGAAGATTTCAAAGAGCAGCTCAAGACGACAAAATCAATTATTATAATGAAATGGGCAAAGAGCTGAAGCTAGAAAAACTAAAAGGGAAGAACACACTCAGCATTTCTCAAGCTGAAAGAACTGAGGAAAAAATTTAAGCCTCGAATTGCAATATTGAAAGATTCCATGTGCAATTATGTTGAATGATGCAGGAAACACCTAAAGAAGATGGATGGAATACAAAGTCACTATACCAAAAAGAGAAGCTCTGGTAGCACAGTACCTAAGGCACCTGAATGCTAACCAGAAAGCTGGCAGTTCAAACCCACTGGCCAATCCTCGGAAGGAAGATCAGGCAATCTACTTCTGTAGTGATACTGCCTCGGAAACTCAAGGAAGGGTCGCTATAAGTCAGGGCTGACCTGATGGCAAATAACAACAACAACAACAATATACCAAAAAGAATTGGCAGACAATCATTCATTTCAAGAGGTGGCACATGATCAAGAACCAATGATACTGAAGGAAGAAGTCAAAGTTGCACTGAAAGAAGTGGCAAAAAAAACAAGGCTCCAGGAATCGATGGAATACCCATTGAGATGTTTCAACAAATGGATGCTGACCTTTTGGTTAGTAGTTACATGGTTTAACCACTATGCCAACAGAGCTCCTTTGGTAGTTAGCATTGTGTGTCAACTTAGCTGGACAGCTGGTGGCAGTTATTCCCTATGATGAGACTGGCAATCAACTCCATGGTGGGATCTACCACAAGCAGCTGAGTAGCTGGCTTTAGGGATGGGGTCTGCTTCCCATGTATAAGCAGGAGCTTTGAGAATGTTCTCTAGCTTATGGCACGGTTGAACCCTCCATGTAGCTGAGTCGTTGTTCAGCAGTCTGCCATGCTCTGCCAAGCTTGGGTCTTTCAATGGACTTGAATCAATGACCTGCCGTGTTGTTTGGTAATACTGGGACTGTGGCTTTTTACTTGTCAAACTTGGGTTTGTCAGCCCCCGTAGCCAGCAGCTGTCTGAGTGAAGAAAAAATCCCCCAGCTTTAGTGGGCTGGGAGCAGGAGGCAGAGCTGAAGCCCAAGAGCCTGGCACTTTGAATTCTGACTTTAAGCCTCCCAATTGTGAGAATAAACTCCCGTTTGTTAAAGCCATCCCATTTGTGGTATATTCCTGTCAGAGCAGCACTAGTCGTCGTTATGTGCTGTCAAGTCGGACCCAACTCATAGCAACCCCTCCTTGGGTTTCCGAGGCAGTATCACTACAGAAGTAGATTGCCCAACCTTCCTTCCAAGGAGTGGCTGGTGGGTTTGAACCGCTGGCCTTCTGGTTCGCAGTCAAGTGCCTCAGGCATTACACTACCAGAACTAGGTAACCAAAACATTATGTCAGATGGATCTTGTCTGAGAGCAAAGAATATCAGTAAGATGTGTTATCTATGATTTATTGACTATGCAAAGGCATTAGATTGTGTGGATCATAATAATTTATGCATAACAATGCAAAGAACAGGAATTTCCAAATACTTAATTGTGATAATGAGGAACCTGTACACAGACCAAGAGGCTGTTGTTCAAACAGAACAAAGGAATACTGCATCATTTAAAATCAGGAAGGGAGTGCAACAGGGTTGTATCCTTTCACTATACATATTTAATCCATACTCTGAGCAAATAATCCGAGAAGCTATACCTATCAGAAAAAGAACATGGCATCAGGATTAGAGGAAGACTCATTAATATCCTGAGATATGCAAGAGACGCGATCTTACTGGCTGAAAGTGAAGATGACTTGAAGCACTTACTGATGAAAATCAGACTACAGCCTGCAGTATGGATTTACATCTCAACACAAAGAAAACAAAACTCCTCACAACTTGGCCCATAAGCAACATCATTTTATCATGGAGACAACATTGAAGGTGTCGAAGATTTCATTTTACTTGGATCCATAATCAACACCTGTGGAATCAGCAATCAAGAAATCAGGTATTGTATTATACTGGGAAAATCAGCTGCAAAAGACCTCTTTAAAGTGTTATGGAGCTAATATATCATTTTAAAGACTAAGGTGCACCTATCCCAAGTGATTGTACTTTCAATCGCCTCATATGCACAAGAAAGCTGGACAAGGAATGAGGAAGACCGAAGAGTTGGTGCCTTCAAATTATGTTGGTGAAATATACTGAAAATACCATGGGCTGCCAGAAGAACAAACAAAACTATCCTGGACGAAGTGCAGCCAGAATGATCTTTCAAAGCAAAAATGGCCAGACTTCATCTCACCTACTATGGTCACAGTGTCAGATGGGACCAATCCCCGGAGAAGTATATCATGGTGGGTTAGAGAAAAAGGGGAAGGCCCTCAATGAGAAGGACTGACACAGCAGCTATAACCATGGGTTCAAGCATAGCAAGGACTGTGAGGATCACACAGGACGGGCAGTGTTTCATTCTATTGTACATAGGGTCATTATGAGTCGGAGGCAACTCTATGGCACCTAGAGCAACAACAAAATACGGTGAACACTAGGACCTAGGGAAATAAACTCTTTCGAAAAATCAACCGTTCAAAGTCAAAAGACATTTGCCCAAGGACAAAGTTCACAAGACAGGAAGGGATACAAAAGGGAGGAGCAATGG